TGGGTCCTAATCTGCTTGCCTGGACTTCCAGGAAACAACCTACTATTGCACGGTCGTCTACTGAGGCTGAGTTTCGTGCCATTGCCAATGTTTGTGTGGAGTTGCATTGTGTGTGTCATCTGTTGTCTAAGTTGGGTGTCTCCTTACGTTGCTCTCCGACTGTTTGGTGTGTATAACAATAGTGCGGTTTTTCTTGCTGCCAATCCGGTTTTCCATGCGCGTACACGACATGTTGAGGTGGATTTTCATTTTATTCGTGATCATGTTCGTCGGAAGTTTGTTTCGATTCACTCCTTGTCTGCTGCTGATCAGGTTGCTGACATTCTTACCAAGCCCTTATCCAAGGATTTATTTCTTCATTTTCGAGACAAACTTCGGCTTCTTGCTTTTTCGCCGTCAGTTTGAGGGGGCGTATTGCCGAAACTATATATTTACAGTAGTAATTATGTAATTAGGGTTTCTCTTATGTGTATATATATACCTTGTACGTGTATGATTAAACTCAACGAATAGAGATCTTTACTTTCCTAACTGGGTTATGTATACTTTATAATATGGAAAAAAGAAAGAAAGAAAAAGAAGAAGAGGTGGGGAAAAGAAGTGTCTTTTAATATTAGCAAAAGAATTATATTGTTATTAACGGTGAATAACCTATAATATGGAAAAGAAAATTGAAGTGGAGATACACAGTGAAGTATATAGAGGGAAGGTTTAAGTTATGAAAGAGAAAGTGAAAGGAGCAAATTAACAAAGGTGGAAAAATAGTGTTTTTAAAAGAAAGTGAAATGAGAGATTTGCAGGTCGATAATATAATAAAAGAGCAATAAAAATGTGAAAATAATTTAAAACTATAGCCTAAGAAAAAAAAAAGATGATAATTGTAGCGAACATTGATGGAGAAAATACAAGAGAGTATTGTCTTCCATAACATTTAGGGCACATTTTCATGCATGTTTTACATGTAACAATAAGGACATTTCTCCGAAAGAATAAAACTTCATCGGTGTATTGTGTGTATTCAAAAGAAAAAAAAATGGCGTATAATTGTTTGACCTCTCTTTGATTAGTAAGAAGGAATAGAGTATAACTCATTATCCAATTTGTAGTCCAAAAATTAAAGGGATTACTCTATAAGAAACACTGAATAATGAGAATATTATGTACATATATATTGGTTTACACTAATGAGAATAATTTCCATTTATGCATATTATTATCCCAACAAAACCCCAAAAGCCATTAAACAAAATTGAAGTCACATCGAGGAATCTAGATGGACAAAAATTGTACGGCAGCAACGGATTGGCGACACATGATCAGTTCGGAGGGGAAATGACCAAACCATATCGCACAGCCCACTGTTTTTCTGTTTTTCTTTTATCTTTGGTTACCATAAAATAATGTAGCATAAATATGAGACCAAAGGTTATGGAAAATGGAAAGAAAAAAGAGCATAAGGTTCTGTCCACTAACACTACAACTCCTCACTACTAGGCTTGGTCTGTTTTTTGATTGATTCCCACTTGCACTTAGCACAGATGGAGTGGGATATAGAGATAACGCGTCGCAGTGATAGATAAAAGATAATAAATTTATTCAGTGAAATTAATTGTGTAACTGATATGTCACGTATGAAAAACATATAAATTTATAATCATAGGAAACAAGAGAATTATAAATTAATAATATTTTCATGTGTGACACATCAGATATTGAGTTAAAAATGAATTTACATTATAAGCCATTCATTAGAACATTTCTACTCTCAACCAGGAGTCGGAAAGAAAAATGAAAAGAAAAAGAAGAAGAAGAAGAACCTAGTTTCACAAAGAAAAATCTATTTGCAAGAATATATATATGTATATAACTCACTCAGTAATAACATAACAAATACAGATAATATTTTTTTGGGACAGAATGAATACATTACTTGATTAGTGACATGTATTTGTGAGTATATTTTAGTTTGTGACTTTGTGTTGGCCTGTTCTACAATTTTTCTGCAAAAAGAAACTTCACGTACAATACCACAAATGGTATGTTGGGGTATCTGTTGACGAACTATAAGGACTAGGACACTTTTGGACTACCCTAGCTGTTGTATTATCTCTTAGCTTGTGTTGTGTCTTTCCTAGCTCCTCTCACTATACATAGATTCTTTTTCCTTTTTATTATCGTTTTCTCCTTTTTTATTTTCTTAATTTATTCCTTCTGTTTTTCATTTAAATGCTAAGGACTCTAAAATAATCGACGCGACGTGATGAGGAAAGGGCATAAGGAATCAAGAGTATAATGGTTTATTCCGAGAGAAAAAGAAATCGTTTCTATTAAAAAGGGGGAAATGAAAATTGGTCCTAATACTTGAGAACGTATTATATGTATGAGAAATTTAGATACATTAAGATCATAATTCTTATATAGAAAATGAGATCTTTTATCTCACATTTTGAATACTATTCCATCGGCACAAAAATAGTCCACGTTGTAAATAGTAAATTATACTAATATTCTCTTGTAAACACCATCTAACTAGCTAATATTTCAATACAATGATAGACAAAGCTTTGAATGAAGGATAGCCTCTCTATTGACGTAACTTAAACCTTGTACACGCTATTAAAATGTAAAATAAAGGTTCTAGTAAAGATTATTTTTTTGTTTACTTTAAAGATATTAAAATTGCATTTCTTTTCACTTTCTTTCCCCTCTCTCCCCCAAAATAATCGTGTGATGTGTTCGTAATTCTCGGTCTAATCATTTTAGGACAGTTGGAGTATTTTTTTTTTCCCTTTTCCAATACTTTTGATATCTCCTTTGTATTTGGAAGGTGGCATCAGCAAAAGTCCACTTCTTTTTTTTTTTTTTTTGAGATTGCGACCACCTAGGTCATCTTAGAGTACTGAAGCTTAATTGAATTATGTGTTATAATTGGGAACCATCATTGACTTAAATGCTCTGCCTTTTGATGCTACGTATACAATTTTCATTTTATACCAATTAACACTCAAATTTGTGCCTGTTTATTTTTAATTTTCTTAAAACAAAATGATGTAATTGATTTGAAAATTAATGGAATGCTTTGTGATGAAGGAAATAAAAAGATTTGAAAGAAGCCAGTCGGATTCTTGTTTGTTGGTCGATCTATTTGATTTTCTTTGTCTTGTGGATTACTTACTTGTCATGCATCTTCAATCGTCATGATATCTATAGCTACTTGCATGGTACCATCTTTTTCATACAAAAGCTACTTGCTGATGACATTTCCTTTTTTTTTTTTTTTGGTAACATTCTCAATTACTCAGTTAATATACATTATAAAAAAAATCAACAGAAACCCTAACAAATAATAATGACCCTTAAAAATATCACGTGAAAGTTTTGTGCGAAAGTGTGACTAATCGGATTGGAATCAAACCTAATATGTTCGCGTTTTTTTAGTCTGTATTTTTAAGTGTTTTTTTTTTCATTCAGAATGTAAAAATATATATTAAAAATGTAAGAAGATATGTTGGATTGAAACACTTATTAATAAAAGATTATGAAATAAACATTAAGAAAACGAACCAAACAAAAAGTTTCTCTTATGGTTCACAACCTAGCTTGATGAGGAAAGTAGTTTAGATACATCCATGAAACTTCACAAAACATTTGTTCCTTTTCTCAATCCAATTCCACCTTCCTTTGCTTTTCTGTTTTTTTTTTTTTCTTGAAAAGAAAAATACAAACCAGCTTCTTTTATAAACCACAATTCAATGAATTGATTCACTACATGCATGTGGTACTTCTCATCCATTTTGTTCAGGAATCTTTCTTTGAAATATATTTTTTTGGGGTAAAAAGTGATAAATAATTGAAAGATGGAAATGAACAATATTGGTAGAGCATAGCTGCCGGAAAATATCAGCTTTCAAGTCCCTATAAAACTGACACAGATCAGCACACACAACTGTAAGGTTCATTGGGATCCCAAAACAGAATCTTGTATCCATGAGAAATCATTGATCTAGGAAGCTTTATCTACCTAAAATGATATAATAGTAATCTCCTGCTTTAGTCTTTTAAATTGAATAACTAAAATAAATTGAATAGAATTAATTCTGTATATGTTTGTCAACTTTATATAAAGATTTTCGATGATATAAATTTCATAAGTTTAATTTTAAAATTTTTAATTTTTAAAAATTGAACGGTTAAAAATGAAAAATGGAATAAATATATTTATATATTTCTAGGAACTCAGAAAAAAAAAAAAAAGACAGAACCGAAGGCCCATGTCATCATTTAAAAAGGATTAAAAAGGGACATTATTGATGGAAATAATGAAAAGCTCAGAGATCATTGCATGCAGAAAAGTTCTTCCATCATAATTCATAATAGAGTGTTTTTTCCATTTGGCTTTATTGACTAGCTACTCATGTTCTTACACTTAGCTCTCGTGCATCATGAGCTAGAAGACGAAACAAATCTAGGTCATCAAGCATTTTGGGGGCCTTCATCGTTTATGATTATTTACTAATTAAGGAAAGAAAGATTTTATATGAAAAAAAAGAAGAAAGAAAGATTTTATAGTTTCCTAATGTCCTTCAGTTTTTGCCCCTTTCGATCTAATGTACTGTATGAATTTCTGCTTTGGCCAAACTTCCTAGCTATTTCTTTTTTCCTTTTTCTAGAAAGGCCAAAGAGTTGCGCTCCTTTGGAGGACAACCACTTCAGCGTTGGTCCATAGCTATACAGCAACGTTTCCGATCCCCTACACTAACTTTTATGAGTACTCCCACAATCTTTAAAACAAAAGAAAAATTTTATATTAGAATATCAAAATTTAACGTGAATTCTTTTTTGAACGGAAGTTTTGCAGTTATATGTAATATTAGAGCCCTAAAGCTACAAAGAACCACAAAATTTATATATAATTAATCCCAACTGTTGTTACTTTATAGCATATGAATGAAAATTTCAAAACGCTAACAACTAGGCAACAACAAATAATTAAGCATTTTTCAGAAAAGAGAGAATAGCGGAGAGCATTCATCTTTATGATGGTTGTAACAATGACTTGCCCCTTCAATGATATGAGTAACGTGATTCCGCACGGTTTCCTCAAATCGCAACGCATCTTGAAGCGGTACAATTTTGTCTTCAGAACCGTGGACGATCAATACCTTGTAATTTCGTTCAATCTTAGAGCACGATTTCTCCATATTTATGGCGAGTCCATCCTGGACACTTTGTAACGTCACGCGATAGTCAACTTCAACTTTATCTTTTTTCTTCCTTGGGACGTCAATATAACCATCTCGTTCCAATGCTTCCATGAAATTTTTACCCCATCGCTCTTCCATACCTTCCTTCAAATTGAAACGTGCAGATACGTTTATCACCATCCGAACATCATGATATTTAGATGCATATAGCAATACGACATTCGCTCCTTTACTGTGACCAATGATCGCGGTAACTTTTCGCCCGATCGTGGTAAAATATTGAATGACTGCAAGGAGGTCTTCTACTTCTCCCCAGTAGTTATGGGGATCAAATTCACCATAACTTTGTCCATTCCCTGAAAAGTCGAATCGGAATGCACTGAGATTTTGTTCAACCAATGCATTCGTGATATTTACTATTAGTTTGCTATATATCCTTGGAAGACCTAAAAGGATGGCATATCAATCTTAACTTCTGAATTTTGTGCCATCATTGATTAATTTGGAGTAGGTTTTCCAATGTTTTTTTTTAAAAAAAAAGGTAATCTTACCTTCTTTTCTTTTCTTTTTTTTAATTAAAAGGTATAAATAAGTACGTGCCGTTGGAATTCCCGATTAAAAGGTAATTATTATGTATTCTTGAATAATAACTTCAATTATTTTTGAGTTGGATGCCTAACTTATATTTTTAACGTTATATCCCCATAATCAAATACAAGTTTTTAAGTTTAAAGCATTATTTTCCGTTTATGGCAAACGAAATATACGGAAAATGAAACCTCCGTCCACTTAGACCTCTTTTTTGGCCTATTATGTCGAAATAATTCTACTTTTATGTGATTTAGATTTAACATCTTTTTGTCCAACCAGAAAATTCATTGTAACTTTAAACTGAAATATAGACAACACAAATATACATAAAATAAGAACCCGGAAAGCTTGATTGGACAATTCATACAGAGGAATAGTCTTAAAATTGTTAAAATAAGAGAGTTTGTGCCCAAAATTCCATTTATCTTCATGTTTTAAGAGGATACGTCATCGAGCAGCATAAAGAACACTTCTCCCTTAAGAAAAAACTTTTTAATTTAGGGAAATCACACACACACTTACACACTAAAACACTCACAAAAAAAGGATATCTGTTAACAGGAAAAAGTTTTTTTTTTCACTTAAAAAATATGCATATAAACTTAATGAATACTAATAGATTATATAGAATTTAATTGAAAAGCGAAGATATTCTTCCTCCCGACAAGGTTTACTTTATAAAGGTTTTTCAACAAGAGGGCTTTTAAAAACACCATGCTCCTTTAATATTCTCTTCATCTGCATGTGGAACGGAAGATCTTACTATTATTGCACTGATTGGATGATCTTGGGGCTGCCACCAAAAGGGGAAAGTGACTGAGAAAAGAGGCTTAACTAATAAAATAAAAATTCCTTTTTTTTTCCAAGTTTAATTTCCATTTGAAGATTGTTTAGAGCCATCCCTCTTAAGGTTGCGAATGATGTTGTACCACGTTGCCAAATGTTCATGTTGACACGTTTTCATTGGCCATTTTCATCTCCTTTTCAACTTGTGTGCTTAGTATAGTTTTTCTTTCAATATTATATTTTGTCCCTTTTTGGAGTTCCTATGTTCAACAAATTGATCGTAAGAGAATACTACATGGTCATAGCATAGACTGAATGAAAATTATTCAGAGATGGTCTCTATTGTAGTAATTATAGTTACTAAAATAGAATAACAAAAATGAAAAATCAATTATTCAAAATTTTAATTTGGATCTTATACAATTTCATTTTATATGTTACACAGACTAATTCTTATTTGATTATGATAAATCTCTTTTATCAAGATATAAAAGTCTACCATTATTTTTTCCACACACACCTCGTATGGACCTTACTCAAGATGCGTTCCCTGTTAATTCCAAGTCTATTTCTTCATTAATTAATCATCTTAGACCTCTCTTTTTTTTGGTTAGTTTATCGTGGTCCAAAGTCTTTTATCTTCACATCAAGGTCTGTGATGTTGAGACTAGCGGTGGCTAGGGTTTTGGCTTTTTTAATCATGAGGGATGAATGAATGAACCTTCTGTATTGGTAGCCAGCTTGTGGAGAATCTTGGTATATTCTTAGGGCTTGAATACGTGCCATTATCATATAAGATCTCACTGTTTTATCCAACTTTTCCAATACATTCTGCGGTCTTTTGTTTCATCACTTTGAACATAGTACATATTTCAAAAACATTTTAAAATATTTAAAGGTGATGGAAGATGAAATTAAAAAATACTACTCTCTCTGTCAAAAAAAAAATCTACATTAAATTTTAAAATTTGTAATATTTCTAATATAAAATTTTAAATTCAAAGTGAATTATTTTTTTGGGCCGTAGAATACTTAACAAAGTGAAGCTAAGATCATAACCAAATTCTGAAACGACCTACACAAGTGGTGTGACTAAAATTGATGGTGTAGAGATGATGAGTATCATTACTCAATGCAAAATAGTCATTTGTAAGTTAATAATAATACTCTTATCGCCTCATAAATTACTCAATTTTATAAATATAAACAGTTTAAAATGTAACTTTAGATTATTTTTCGACTAAAAAAGATTTTTTTTATTTAATTTGTTTGTTTAACTAATAAAACACGATCTAGATAAAGAATCAGAGAATGAGAGGGAGGATTCCATTTGAGCTATTTATTCCAACGGACCAAGGATTTTAGAGAATTTTCAGTTTTTTTTTTTTTTCCCTCTCTTTTTAATGAAGAGATATTATCATCTTTTTTTACGCGGCGTGTGTCTGGAAATTAAATCACAACCTTCCAACCGAACTTTGTTCTAAATTAGGGCATCCTGGACCAAGAAGGTGACACCTGCTGTGGTATTATCCTTAAATAGATTCTTAATAAAAAATAAATTCAGATAATAATAATAATAATCAATAAATAATTTAGGTTGCCAAATTTGAGTGGGGAAAAAATAAGAGTATGTTTTTGAAAGCGAATGTCGCCACTAGCTTTAATTCCATTTGAGGAACAATATTTGTGTGCCAAGGAAAAAGCATAAAGGGCTACGAAAATTGATTTGTGCGATACCCCCTTGATGAGACATATTAAGGATAAGGTGACACTGATATTGAAAAATTAACCAAATAGATGTTTGTTTTCTTTCTAATTTTATAATTCGTATATAGCCAATGGTAGCAATGAATATAATTATTTCGTATTTTTCTCCTCGGGTGCTTTCCAAAGAATATTCTTTGGAGCGTACCTAAATCGAATCACTCTTCAATGAAATTTGTCTGACTGAATATGTATGAAATTACTAGTTACCTTATTGTTGTATTATTTGAGTGACAATATGCATATTAAAATTTTATAATAAAACCAGGTAGTGATGATTACGAAGTAGATCATTAAATTACGTATTCTATAATTAGTAAGAAATTAAAGGATAATTATACCCTTCTTGTCTATGGCATCACTCATTTATCATAAGTTCCCAAATATATTATTTTTCACATTTACAAATTACAATCATCTTACAACCACTAATTTTTTTTTTTAAAGAAATTCGAGAATTCCGAAATAAGAACAGAAATTCGAGAAAGCGGAAAGAAATGTCAAAATACCGTTGTCTCCACCCACTTAAAACATCTATAAATGTCATACCAACTTCTAAAAAAGGTAAACTAATAACCAAAGCCATAAAATTTTTATAGGATATGCTTTTAATTTAACACATTTGGAATATCAACAATATAATAATTAACCTAATTAGTGAAGCAAATCCTTTTATCTGAAAAGAATCGTCTTTGTTCAATTTACACAAAAATGCTGTCTTCATCGCTGGATTCCATCAAGTAAATTTGTATTCCGTAATGTGACCTGTGTGCTTCATTGTAGATTTTTGAGTCACTGTCTTTGTTTTGTTTGCCCAAAAAAGGATAGAAAGAATTAAACCACACGATTGCATTTACCCGTACATATTTAATAAACCTCAAAATGATGAAATTACTGTTTCCAGTAACCAAAATATTTGTCAATATACTACTAGTTTTTCTTTTTTTTTTTGTAATATAAATCCTATTCTTATTATCCCAAAAGTGATTATCCTGTCTTAATTTTTACTTCGATAATCACTTATATTATAAATAAAAATTTAAATTAAATAATTATTCCGAGAGAAACCTAGGAATACTAACCTAATTCATCACAAGCAATGAGTAACAAGATGACGGCTTCAAATTCTAAAACTTACAAGAATGTTCATTGCCAAACTGTAGAAGGCTTTCTCTGAAGTTGCTGCTAATTAAGCTGCAAATGTAACGGTTACATAATAATTTGTAGAAACGAAGCCGGCTTTTGTTCAGCGAATAAAACTCTTGTCACAAAAAAAATTACTCCCTCCGTCCCATAATTATTGTCCAGTTTTACTAAAATGAAAGATTTTATTTTTGGTCAAACTTAACTATATTTTACCTTAAACAACCGGATATACCCCTACATAAGTAATTGTTTAACCACTAAGATTTTATGGATAATGTTTTTTACTAAGGACAAATGTGTAACTTGATCCATAAAAAGTCAAATTGGACAATAATTTTGGGATAAAATTTTTTGGGCAAAGTAGTAGATAATAATTATGGGACGGAAGGAGTACTAAGCTAGCCACATGTTCGGACTTCAGATACATAAAAATAATAGAAATCTCAAAATTAAATGGGACTTATTCTTTTGTGACCGCAAAAGTAGTAATAACAATAATAATGTTAGTGAATCGTGATAAACTTTATAAGGATGAATTTGAAGAACACGACTAATGGAGGAGTTTCCAATCAGTTTAATAGTATGTCAAAATGATTATTACAATCAGCCATCCTCTTTCCTGAAAAGCAAAACATCCAGGCCCGTTTTAGATGCTTCCTGGGCTCTTACAGTTGATGCATTGGGTCATTGAATCTCGGGTTGGAAATTTCTGGGGAAAGTGGACTCTGCAGATTGTTTGAACTTTAACTTGGTTTTAGAAAGTTATTAATTATTATAGAACATTTTGATTTCTCCTGAGTTTCAAATAATATGGAAAAATCTAGAGTTTCGTAAACCATTTTTATGGAATCGTCACGTTTTTTCTTGAACCTATTAAAATTGAGGGTATAAGATGTAATCATGGGGTGAATAGGGAAAAATTGGCCGATCTACCCAAAGGTTGACATGCGTTGTCAATTTCACCATATTCTTTTCCGGTTAGCTAATATTACCTAAATTATCCAACCGCTAGCTGATTTTGTCCAATTTTCCAATTTCTTTTTAAATTAACGAAATTTCGTTAGTTTTAATTATAAAAATACCCTAATAGTTTTGAAAATTATAAAAATCACCCCAAAAATTTGTAAAAATAACCAAACAGTCTTTTTTCACTTGTTATTTAATTTTTTCTATTTTCTATTTCTTTTCACAATTTCTCATAACTATAAAAATATATTATATAATCTTTTAAAAAAAAGCTATTTATTTTTAAAACACTATTGTGTAAATTTATAGATATGAATATTCGTAACTCATGGTCGATTTACATAAACATATTAATTTTTTAATAATATAATTTAACAGTAATGATATTATTTTTTTAATCTATTTTTTTCAATCTAAAAAATAAGATTATTTAACTAAACCTAATTTTGCACAAAAAATAAAACATTTAGCATAGATTAAATTTTTTTTATTGGTATACTTTAATGTATTATTACAATATAATTCAACAGAATTTAGATTGTATTGTAAAATTAAAAAAATAATTAAACTAAAATATACATTTTCTTTAAAAGGCCAGGGACAAACAGAAAGTAAAAAAAAATGGTACAAAATATTTTATAAAAAAATATGTATATTTGTCATTGCGAGAGTTTAACATTTTGTAATAATTTTTTTGAGATATTAACATCTAACTTTAGCAGGAAATTTTTTTTTAATAATAATAAAAAAAAAATCTGCTCCAGTATTGGACTCCACCTTTAAAAAAAAAAAAAAAGATCCCCCCAATGAGAATTGAGGCCTTGAGCACAGTAATAATCATTTCCCATCTTAAATCACCTGACCATCCAACTCAACCCTCTCATCTTTAGTAAACCATGTATAAATGTGGATAAAATCACTCTCCTGGTTAAAAATCCTTGGTGAGAATTAATCTTATATCTACTATCATGGAGCTCAACACCCTAAACACTAGATTGTACACTATATCTTAGTTTAGTAATTTTTTGAATTGGATAATACAATCTATAGTTTTTTATTCAATTTGTAATAAATTAAAATGTACTAATATATTAATTTTTAATCTATGCTAAATGGTTTACTTTTTTGTAAAAAATTAGTTTTTAGTCATAAAATATTATTCTTTAAATTGAAAAAAGGATTAAAAAAACTAATATCATTAGTCAAGTTATATTATTAAAAAATTAATATATTTATGTAAATCAACCATGAGTTACAAATATACATATCTATAAATTTGCACAGTA